TGGAGAAATTACAAAAATGTCACTTTTTATGTGCACATTTACAAAAATGCTATTTAGGGGTGTTCATTTGCAAAAATGCCACTAATTATAGATTTTAAACCCTATATCTTAAAATTCTAAACACTAAAGAATGTTTTGACCCATAAACCCTTCTAAACCCTCATAACTGAATCCTAATAGAACATAATTAACCCAAACATAAATAATATAAAGAAAAAATAATTTTGAAAAAGTGGCATTTTTGTAAAAATTTCAAAAGTGTGGTATTTTTGTAAAATAACACTTGAAAAGTGGCATTTTTTGAAATTTCTCTAAAATATTGTCCTTTGAGATAGACAAATCACTTGGCGCCACATGGTATGGTGGAATTTTTAACAATTTTGGTGAGGGTAAAAAAATTTGTGGAGGCGATTCTAAGCCATTCTTCAAATTTGTGGTATATCTTTTACAACTTTTTCACAATCTGATGAGCTTCCACACTGATATTGGAGAACTACAGATCATTTTGAGCCTTCTAAATCCTCCATAGCATCCAAAGGAATGGATGTAACATCTTTTGCTCCTCTTTACTAGATCCATGCCTCTCAAACAGTCCCTCTGCCATGTTGACATATATATGGAATCTGAGGGAGCAGGGTTAGAGACCCATAGGAGATGAAGCCCATGCCATCCTAGCATAAGAGCACTGGAATAAGATATGATTAATTGTTTCCTCTTTACCTCAACATCTAGGGAATTCTTTAGCTCTTCTCAGTCTTTAACTAGCCATATTCATTGCCAGAACCAAATTATTAGTAAGGCATCTCCACATGAAACTCTGGAGTTTAGGACTGGTCTTCATTTTCCAAGTAGCTTTATACAAAGGCCAAGGACTTGGTTCTAGTACCTCATTTCTTGCGGAGAAGGCTTTAATCTTATGTAACCAGACCCTATAATTAGATTTAACAGTGTAAACACCATTATTTCCTTTTGTATCACCACCTAGTTTAACTTTGCCAATTAGCTCAACATCTTCTTCAGGGTATAACTGCCTCAACAATGGGAGATTCCTACTCATCTGATCCAGTTTCTTTAAGCATGGCCATGTCAATGCTTTTTAGTTAAACACTGGATTCAAAACAAGTGTATAGTAGTAAGAACTGTTTTTTTATTGGTGTATGTTTTCACTTTTCAGGGGAACAGAAGATATACTCCTCTCCAGCAACCAACAGCACAACAAATAATTGCCGACAAAGTTTCCGAAGGTCCAATCACCGTAATCCTCATTGGATCTCTCACAAATTTTGCACTCTTCATGATGTCAAATCCTCACCTGAAACACAACATCCAACACATCTACGTCATGGGTGGTGGTGTTCGGTCGCAATACTCCAGCAGCTGTTGTCCGGCAAACTCCACAGCGGCAGAATGTACACCTAGAGAGTGCAGTGGAAACTTGTACACAAATATTGCAAGTAATCCTTACGCTGAATTCAATATCTTCGCTGATCCTTTCGCTGCTTATCAGGTTCTCTATCCTTTTTAATTTTCTCATTATAGGGGTTTATTTGTGATTTTTAAAACTAGGTTCTGCTCGTGTTTATGTTTCATGTTGTGTGTCTATCACAGGTGTTGCATTCAGGTGTTCCAGTGACTCTGGTTCCTCTAGATGCAACCAACACAATACCTATCAACAAGAACTTCTTTGAGACGTTTGAGAAGAACCAGAGAACATACGAAGCTCAATACATTTTCTCATCTCTAAAAATCGTCAGAGACACTTGGTTCAACGATGCATTCTACGAGGTAACATTAATTATGAATCCACTTCAGAAACTACTAAATCAAGAATGTTTTGAAAATGTTTTTTCTTAAACAAAAGTTTGTTATATTCTTCAGAACTACTTCATGTGGGATTCTTTCACAGTTGGTGTTGCAGTCTCAATTATGAGAAACTCAGGTAATGAAAGCAACAAAAACGGCGAGAATGATTTCTCCGAGATAGAATATATGAACATAACCGTTGTTACTTCAAACAAACCTTATGGGAGATTGGACGGCTCAAATCCATTCTTCGATAAAAGAAAAACACCAAAGTTTAACCTAACCCTTGGAGAAGTTCATAGTGGTCATGTTCAGATGGGTTTGCGCGATCCGTTCTGCATACCAAAAATCGGAAAAGGAAATTGTAAGGTATGTGTTTCCTTATTACCCTTTTCTTAGTCTCTGATTTAGTTTTATTTCAGAGGATTTAATACGTTTTAGTTTCTTTAATGGTTAACATTATTAGGATGGTTACACACAAGAGATCTCTGGACCTGATTCAGTTCGTGTGCTTGTCGCGACACGAGCTAAACCGAACATAAACATCAAAAGTAAACTTGACAGGGAGTTCTATGTTGATTTCTTGGAAGTAAGTTTTCATATTCTCAGAAAAATCTAATCTTGAAAATTTACAAATCAAACGTTTTTCTTTTGTTTCATATAACATAATTGCGTACATGATGAACAGGTTTTGAATAGACCTGAAGAAACAGGGAGATATAACTTTTCATCTCAGTTTCGATACTACAAGGAAGAAATGTTCATACCAGATCTAAGCAAAATACGCCTCGGAAAGCCTGTTGTTTTCGATATGGACATGAGTGCTGGAGATTTCCTCTCGCTCTTCTATCTTCTTAAAGTTCCGGTGGAGAAAATCGATTTGAAGGTATGATTTAACAGAGATTTAACTGTTTCTTGTTACACAAGTAACTATGTGAAAAACAAATATCCCACATTACAGTTGCTTTTACACAAGTAACTAAGTGAATCTTCTTTGTCCTTCAAAGTCTAATGCTTAGCTACTCTCTCTGGATGAGCCAGGCCATTATAGTGAGCCCAACAGGTTGGGCTAACGCAGCAACAATCGATGTGGTTTATGATTTGCTTCATATGATGGGTCGTGACGACATTCTGGTCGGTCTTGGAGACATGTTCGCATTGAACCAATCTGACCCGATTTTCCCACCGGTTGGAGATTGCAAATACATCAAGGCTGTTCCACAAGGCTGTGGCGGATTTCTTGATTCCGACACTCTCTACGGTTTTGCTCGTGACCTTCCGAGAAGCCCTCGCAGGTTTATACATATATAAAAACCAATTGATAATGAGTCAAATGACCGATATTTGTTATATAAATACTATCAAGTTATGTCATTTCAGTGTAAAATTCCTAATAGATAAATATCTACATGTTTATGCAGATACACTGCGGAGAACTCAGTGGCACATGGAGCTCCGAGGGATACTGATCGACCTGAACTTCGACAACCTATGGCAAATGAAGTGTGGGAAAATTTGACCAAATATGGTAATGGAGTGTCTAAGATCACTGTACTAACCAATGGACCGTTGACTAACTTAGCCAAGATCATCTCATCAGATAAAAACTCATCTTCACTAATCAAGGCAAGAACATTCTCCTACTTTTTTGGTGAAAATTCATCAAGATCCGAGATCTAGTTAAGATGGCTTCTTATGTAAGTTGCAGGAAGTTTACATCGTGGGCGGACATATAAGCCAAGGAAAATCAGACAAAGGGAACACATTTACGGTTCCTTCGAATGCATACGCCGAATTCAATATGTTTCTTGATCCTTTAGCAGCTAAGACCGTTTTTGAATCCGGTCGACTAAACATCACACTCATCCCTCTAGCAATCCAACGCAACTTTAGCTCTTTTCAAACAATGCTTGATAGACTATATTCTTCGGGTCAAACATCGGAAGCTCGGTTTGTGAAACGGCTGCTTGTTAGATTGCAAGCTCTTCATCAGAATCACAGGAGATACACGCACATGGTTAAGACTCTCTTCTCATTCTGTTTCATATTAGACCAAAAAAACAAATTTTGGCCTTGGTTATTTTCTTTACATTGATAAGTTATATATATAAGAAAATGTCTTAATCAATTTTCTTTCTAAATTGTAAACGCAAATGCTAATACGTAAACAGAACGAGAAATTTTCGTTTGTGTTTCTCGTCAACAATTGTTAAAAAAATTACTTTAAATTGTTGTTGCAGGACATGTTCTTAGGGGAAATTTTTGGAGCTGTTTTCTTGGGAGGCGATCACGCTTCATTGAAGCCGAAACTGAGAGCTGAGCACATAAAAGTGATCGCTGAAGGAGACGAATCGAAAGATGGTCAGATATTGATCGATAAACTACACGGAAAACGAATAAAAATACTCGAAAGTGTAGATTTGAGAGGATGTTATGAGATTTTTGCTTCTAGGCTCGATGATAAGAAACAATCTGCAGTCATAGGAAGCTTTGAAGAACAAAGGAAGAAATGGAGCACACCACAAAGTTGACAACAACAACAGAAAAGATAACCCATTAAACTGCTCAAAGATTTGATTGAATTTTGATGGTTACAGATTTATAATCTTTTTTCAGAAACTTTGATTAGACGGAAATTCCAGTTATTAATAGTACAAAGCTCTTTTGTGGTTTTTGATAAAAGAAATGAGAACTTGAGATGTTCATCAAACACAAGAATACTACAATTGGAAACAACAGAAAAGAAATCCAAAACCCGGCATGCAATGAATAATCACTTTCATTTTTGAGGTAAAATCAACAATAAGAGACGGATGTATAATGCAATTTCTTAATTTAGCGATAGATTAATTTTTAAAGGGACCAATTTTTAAAATTATTAATACATTTTTTTTGGATTTTGTGATTTGGAGTTTAATATGATTGTCGCTACATCCGGTGCAGATATTTTATTT